AAAATGCGCAGCACTTGGTGCACCCATCCGCCACGTCGAGGGGGTGGTCCGGGAATTCAACGCAAGACCTCTCGCACCCGAAGCGAGAATCATACCACTAGACTAAACAGCCGACGAATCCTGCAGGGGACCTTCCACAGCGGACCCCCACGCAACCTGCCCTGGCCTCCGCTAGTCACCTCCTCCGCTGCATCGCACTATTTTCCGACACGCGCGGGCCGCCTCTCCCCTGCAAGCCACCTCCCATGCGCTTCTTCCTCTTCACCTCCAAAACGGCGCTCCCTCCTCTGCAAACCCCCTCCCTCAGCCACAGCGACCGCCTCCCCAGCCGCTCCAATCGCAGCCCACCCACGAACCAAAGTGGCGTCGCCGCACCAAAAGCGAGCAGCGGAATGCACCGAACACAACCACGCCCTTGTCCTCGTGCTGCAAGTTTCCATTCACGACCGGCCAAATCACCACACACAACCCACCTCGGTTTGGAGGAGGTAGCAGCATGAGCAGTTGCGGCGGGGACAAAATGCGCAGCAGTTGGTGCACCCATCCGCCACGTCGAGGGGCTGTTCCGGGAATTCAAAACAAGACCTCTCGCACCCTAAGCGAGAATCATACCACTAGACTAAACAGCCGACGAATCCCGCAGGTGACCTTCCACAGCGTACCCCCACGCAACCTGCCCTGTCCTCCGCTAGTCACCTCCTCCGCTGCATCGCACTATTTTCCGACACGCGCGGCCCGCCTCTCCCCTGCAAGCCACCTCCCATGCGCTTCCTCCTCTTCACCTCCAAAACGGCGCTCCCTCCTCTCCGAACCCCCTCCCTCAGCCACAGCGACCGCCTCCCCAGCCGCTCCAACCGCAGCCCACCCACGAACCAAAGTGTCGTCGCCGCACCAAAAGCGAGCAGCGGAATGCACCGAACACAACCACGCCCTTGTCCTCGTGCTGCAAATTTCCATTCACGACCGGCCAAATCACCACACACAACCCACCTCGGTTTGGAGGAGGTAGCAGCATGAGCAGTTGCGGCGGGGACAAAATGCGCAGCAGTTGGTGCATCCAACCGCCACATCGAGGAGCTGTCCCGGAAATTCAACCCAAGACCACTCGCACCCTAAGCGAGAATCATACCACTAGACTAAACAGCCGACGAATCCCGCAGGTGACCTTCCACAGCGCACCCCCATGCAACCTGCCCTGTCCTCCGCTAGTCACCTCCTCCGCTGCATCGCACTATTTTCCGACACGCGCGGCCCACCTCTCCCCTGCAAGCCACCTCCCATGCGCTTCCTCCTCTTCACCTCCAAAACGGCGCTCCCTCCTCTGCAAACCCCCTCCCTCAGCCACAGCGACCGCTTCCCCAGCCGCTCCAACTGCAGCCTACCCACGAACCAAAGTGTCATCGCCGCACCAAAAACGAGCAGCGGAATGCACCAAACACAACCACGCCCTTCTCCTCTTCTTGCAAGCCTTCATTCACGACCCGTCAAACCACCACACACAACCCACCTCGGTTTGGAGGAGGCAGCAGCATGAGCAGTTGCGGCGGGGACAAAATGCGCAGCAGTTGGTGCACCCATCCGCCACGTCGAGGGGCTGTTCCGGGATTTCAACCCAAGACCTCTCGCACCCGAAGCGAGATTCATACCACTAGACTAAACAGCCGACGAATCCCGCAGGTGACCTTCCACAGCGCACCCCCACGCAACCTGCCCTGTCCTCCGCTAGTCACCTCCTCCGCTGCATCGCACTACTTTCCGACACGCGCGGCCCACCTCTCTCCTGCAAGCCACCTCCCATGCGCTTCTTCCTCTTCACCTCCAAAACGGCGCTCCCTCCTCTCCGAACCCCCTCCCTCAGCCACAGCGACCGCCTCCCCAGCCGCTCCAACTGCAGCCCACCCACGAACCAAAGTGTCGTCGCCGCACCAAAAACGAGCAGCGGAATGCACCGAACACAACCACGCCCTTGTCCTCGTGCTGCAAGCTTCCATTCACGACCGGCCAAAACACCACACACAACCCACCTCGGTTTGGAGGAGGCAGCGGCATGAGCAGTTGCGGCGGGGACAAAATGCGCAGCACTTGGTGCACCCATCTGCCACGTCGAGGGGCTGTTCCGGGAATTCAAAACAAGACCTCTCGCACCCTAAGCGAGAATCATACCACTAGACTAAACAGCCGACGAATCCCGCAGGTGACCTTCCACAGCGCACCCCCACGCAACCTGCCCTGTCCCCCGCTAGTCACCTCCTCCGCTGCATCGCACTATTTTCCGACACGCGCGGCCCGCCTCTCCCCTGCAAACCACCTCCCATGCGCTTCCTCCTCTTCACCTCCAAAACGGCGCTCCCTCCTCTGCAAACCCCCTCCCTCAGCCACAGCGACCGCTTCCCCAGCCGCTCCAACTGCAGCCTACCCACGAACCAAAGTGTCATCGCCGCACCAAAAACGAGCAGCGGAATGCACCAAACACAACCACGCCCTTCTCCTCTTCTTGCAAGCCTTCATTCACGACCCGTCAAACCACCACACACAACCCACCTCGGTTTGGAGGAGGCAGCAGCATGAGCAGTTGCGGCGGGGACAAAATGCGCAGCAGTTGGTGCACCCATCTGCCACGTCGAGGGGCTGTTCCGGGAATTGAACCCGGGACCTCTCGCACCCTAAGCGAGAATCATACCACTAGACTAAACAGCCGACGAATCCCGCATGTGACCTTCCACAGCGCACCCCCACGCAACCTGCCCTGTCCTCCGCTAGTCACCTCCTCCGCTGCATCGCACTATTTTCCGACACGCGCGGCCCGCCTCTCCCCTGCAAGCCACCTCCCATGCGCTTCCTCCTCTTCACCTCCAAAACGGCGCTGCCTCCTCTGCAAACCCCCTCCCTCAGCCACAGCGACCGCCTCCCCAGCCGCTCCAACTGCAGCCCACCCACGAACCAAAGTGTCGTCGCCGCACCAAAAACGAGCAGCGGAATGCACCAAACACAACCACGCCCTTCTCCTCTTCTTGCAAGCTTCCATTCACGACCGGCCAAACCACCACACACAACCCACCTCGGTTTGGAGGAGGCAGCAGCATGAGCAGTTGCGGCGGGGACAAAATGCGCAGCAGTTGGTGCACCCATCTGCCACGTCGAGGGGCTGTTCCGGGAATTCAACGCAAGACCTCTCGCACCCTAAGCGAGAATCATACCACTAGACTAAACAGCCGACGAATCCCGCAGGTGACCTTCCACAGCGCACCCCCACGCAACCTGCCCTGTCCTCCGCTAGTCACCTCCTCCGCTGCACCGCACTATTTTCCGACACGCGCGGCCCGCCTCTCCCCTGCAAGCCACCTCCCATGCGCTTCCTCCTCTTCACCTCCAAAACGGCGCTCCCTCCTCTCCGAACCCCCTCCCTCAGCCACAGCGACCGCCTCCCCAGCCGCTCCAACTGCAGCCCACCCACGAAGCAAAGTGTCGTCGCCGCACCAAAAACGAGCAGCGGAATGCACCGAACACAACCACGCCCTTGTCCTCGTGCTGCAAGCTTCCATTCACGACCGGCCAAAACACCACACACAACCCACCTCGGTTTGGAAGAGGCAGCGGCATGAGCAGTTGCGGCGGGGACAAAATGCGCAGCACTTGGTGCACCCATCCGCCACGTCGAGGGGCTGTTCCGGGAATTCAACCCGGGACCTCTCGCACCCTAAGCGAGAATCATACCACTAGACTAAACAGCCGACGAATCCCGCAGGTGACCTTCCACAGCGTACCCCCACGCAACCTGCCCTGCCCTCCGCTAGTCACCTCCTCCGCTGCATCGCACTATTTTCCGACACGCGCGGCCCGCCTCTCCCCTGCAAGCCACCTCCCATGCGCTTCCTCCTCTTCACCTCCAAAACGGCGCTCCCTCCTCTCCGAAACCCCTCCCTCAGCCACAGCGACCGCCTCCCCAGCCGCTCCAACCGCAGCCCACCCACGAACCAAAGTGTCGTCGTCGCACCAAAAACGAGCAGCGGAATGCACCGAACACAACCACGCCCTTGTCCTCGTGCTGCAAATTTCCATTCACGACCGGCCAAATCACCACACACAACCCACCTCGGTTTGGAGGAGGTAGCAGCATGAGCAGTTGCGGCGGGGACAAAATGCGCAGCAGTTGGTGCACCCATCTGCCACATCGAGGGGCTGTTCCGGGAATTGAACCCGGGACCTCACGCACCCTAAGCGAGAATCATACCACTAGACTAAACAGCCGACGAATCCCGCAGGTGACCTTCCACAGCGCACCCCCACGCAACCTGCCCTGTCCTCCGCTAGTCACCTCCTCCGCTGCATCGCACTATTTTCCGACACGCGCGGCCCGCCTCTCCCCTGCAAGCCACCTCCCATGCGCTTCCTCCTCTTCACCTCCAAAACGGCGCTCCCTCCTCTCCGAACCCCCTCCCTCAGCCACAGCGACCGCCTCCCCAGCCGCTCCAACTGCAGCCCACCCACAAACCAAAGTGTCATCGCCGCACCAAAAACGAGCAGCGGAATGCACCGAACACAACCACGCCCTTGTCCTCGTGCTGCAAGCTTCCATTCACGACCCGTCAAACCACCACACACAACCCACCTCGGTTTGGAGGAGGCATCAGCATGAGCAGTTGCGGCGGGGACAAAATGCGCAGCACTTGGTGCACCCATCTGCCACGTCGAGGGGCTGTTCCGGGAATTGAACCCAAGACCTCTCGCACCCTAAGCGAGAATCATACCACTAGACTAAACAGCCGACGAATCCCGCAGGTGACCTTCCACAGCGCACCCCCACGCAACCTGCCCTGTCCTCCGCTAGTCACCTCCTCCGCTGCATCGCACTATTTTCCGACACGCGCGGCCCGCCTCTCCCCTGCAAGCCGCCTCCCATGCGCTTCCTCCTCTTCACCTCCAAAACGGCGCTCCCTCCTCTCCGAACCCCCTCCCTCAGCCACAGCGACCGCCTCCCCAGCCGCTCCAACTGCAGCCCACCCGCAAACCAAAGTGTCATCGCCGCACCAAAAACGAGCAGCGGAATGCACCGAACACAACCACGCCCTTGTCCTCGTGCTGCAAATTTCCATTCACGACCGGCCAAATCACCACACACAACCCACCTCGGTTTGGAGGAGGTAGCAGCATGAGCAGTTGCGGCGGGGACAAAATGCGCAGCACTTGGTGCACCCATCTGCCACGTCGAGGGGCTGTTCCGGGAATTGAACGCAAGACCTCTCGCACCCGAAGCGAGAATCATACCACTAGACTAAACAGCCGACGAATCCCGCAGGTGACCTTCCACAACGCACCCCCACGCAACCTGCCCTGTCCTCCGCTAGTCACCTCCTCCGCTGCATCGCACTATTTTCCGACACGCGCGGCCCACCTCTCCCCTGCAAACCACCTCCCATGCGCTTCCTCCTCTTCACCTCCAAAACGGCGCTCCCTCCTCTCCGAACCCCCTCCCTCAGCCACAGCGACCGGCTCCAACTGCAGCCCACCCACGAACCAAAGTGTCGTCGTCGCACCAAAAACGAGCAGCGGAATGCACCGAACACAACCACGCCCTTGTCCTCGTGCTGCAAGCTTCCATTCACGACCGGCCAAACCACCACACACAACCCACCTCGGTTTGGAGGAGGCAGCAGCATGAGCAGTTGCGGCGGGGACAAAATGCGCAGCACTTGGTGCATCCATCCGCCACATCGAATAGCTGGCCCGGGATTTCAACCCGGGAACTCTCGCACCCTAAGCGAGAATCATACCACTAGACTAAACAGCCGACGAATCCCGCAGGTGACCTTCCACAACGCACCCCCACGCAACCTGCCCTGTCCTCCGCTAGTCACCTCCTCCGCTGCATCGCACTACTTTCCGACACGCGCGGCCCACCTCTCTCCTGCAAGCCACCTCCCATGCGCTTCCTCCTCTTCACCTCCAAAACGGCGCTCCCTCCTCTCCGAAACCCCTCCCTCAGCCACAGCGACCGCCTCCCCAGCCGCTCCAACTGCAGCCCACCCACGAACCAAAGTGTCGTCGCCGCACCAAAAACGAGCAGCGGAATGCACCGAACACAACCACGCCCTTGTCGTCGTGCTGCAAATTTCCATTCACGACCGGCCAAATCACCACACACAACCCACCTCGGTTTGGAGGAGGTAGCAGCATGAGCAGTTGCGGCGGGGACAAAATGCGCAGCAGTTGGTGCACCCATCTGCCACGTCGAGGGGCTGTTCCGGGAATTCAACCCAAGACCTCTCGCACCCTAAGCGAGAATCATACCACTAGACTAAACAGCCGACGAATCCCGCAGGTGACCTTCCACAGCGCACCCCCACGCAACCTGCCCTGTCCTCCGCTAGTCACCTCCTCCGCTGCATCGCACTATTTTCCGACACGCGCGGCCCACCTCTCCCCTGCAAACCACCTCCCATGCGCTTCCTCGTCTTCACCTCCAAAACGGCGCTCCCTCCTCTCCGAACCCCCTCCCTCAGCCACAGCGACCGCCTCCCCAGCCGCTCCAACTGC